TAGTGACAATGCGAAGCTCATGTTTCCAAGATGACTGCTGCCTATAAAGTTCTGGTACTGACATTTTTTAAGAGATTTTGATGGCCTCAAATTTCCACCTCTGCTCTGAGAACTAAGTTAGTGTACACTAGTAGCTAATTTTAATAGCCGGGGGTCACCTTTGTCCACCATGCACATATGCATGTGTTTTTCCCCTTCCAAGAGAGACTCTGAAGTGAAATGACCAGGCTGAGTGTAAAGATAATGCCTGCAGTGACAGTCACAATAAATACTTTAGTTGTAAATTCTGCTAGTCTGGAAAACCAACAGATGTTACTGCCTGTGATATTTGGGCAGTAGAGTTATTAATTTATAATTATTAAGGACTAGTGCAGAGTAAGTTTTTCTTTTTTTTCTTTTAAACTATGAGGTTCAATACTGCTGACTAAAGCAAAACTGATACATTTCATCTAAGCTAAATCACCTGTAATATACATGCAGTTATAAAATACTGCAAATGAGCTATTTCATATTTTTAGAACTTTCAACAGTACATATTAACTTACATTCTATTTACATTTAAAGGTTATATTTGTAACTGTAAGAAATGAAAATGTAATGCATATTCAAATGAAAACACCAATCTTGGAAACTTTTGTGGTACTTGCCTGGAAGAAAGGACTCTTCAAATCCTGGTATTTATTCCTTAGTTTCTTGTGGTTCTTGGCAGGCTTTAGATAAAGTAGCAACTAGTAACTACAGTTCTGGCCACAGAATGATACAACTATTCCCCATGATGTCCCCTTTGGCCAGCTAAGTTCATGGTGGACAAGAAAAAGATCTCATTTGTACACAGACGTACGAGTTATTATGTAATATTTTGTAAGTTTTAGAACAGATTATCAGTCATAAGTTTGCATTGATTTCCTTTTTGTTACTTACTGTTAAATTTATTTTAAAACAGATTTTAAAAAGTTCTTTGCAGAAGAGTATTAGACCAGAACTAGAGGATCACAATGACAAGAAGATTCATCTGTTTAATGCTAATAGCTGTTGTGGGAGCTACTGCAAGCAAAGCACAGGAATTTGAAGGCAACGACGAGGAAACAGAACAAGAATTCATTTATATGAACAGATATAAGCGTTCCAGTGACACACAGGACAAATGCACTTACACCTTTATTGTACCTCAACAGAGAGTGACAGGTGCCATTTGCGTTAATTCCAAGGAGCCTGAAGTTCTACTTGAAAACAGGGTAAATAAACAAGAATTACAGTTACTTAACAATGAACTTCTTAAACAAAAGAGACAAATAGAAAATCTCCAGCAACTGGTAGAAGTGGATGGTGGGATTGTTAATGAGGTTAAACTCTTAAGAAAAGAGAGCAGAAATATGAATTCTCGTGTCACACAACTCTATATGCAGTTACTACATGAAATTATCCGAAAACGTGACAACGCCTTAGAACTTTCTCAACTTGAGAATAAGATTTTGAACCAAACTGCAGATATGTTGCAGCTCGCAAACAAATACAAAGACTTAGAGCACAAGTACCAACATTTGATGTCAATTGCCAATAATCAGTCCATAATAATTGCCCAACTGGAAGAACACTGTCAAAGAATGCCATCCATAAAGCCACTGCCACAAACTCCACAGCCACCAAATAAAGTGTACCAGCCTCCTACTTACAATCGCATTATTAACCAGATATCTACTAATGAGATTCAGAGTGATCAGAACTTAAAGGTTTTGCCACCTACCTTACCAACCATGCCTGCAGTTACTAGTATTCCAACTTCAACTGATAAACCATCTGGTAAGTAATATTATTGATATGTCTACATCAGTTTATGCTAATATGCAGTGGGCAACATTTTAACTGTAGTATCAAAAATGCAGACTATTTATTTAGCAAGATAAATGCAAATGAATTATTTTTAATGAACTGAGATTTCTCAGATCTGATGCTGTGTATCTATCTTGTGTATTTCTAATATACATGTTGTAGTACAAGCACAGAAAGAAAGTAAAAAAAATGAATTCTGAATGTCTAACAGATTCAGATACACTAGCCCCACAGATTTTTCTCATGTTACTTTGCCAAGACAAACCCACCATTTATGAGATGTATGAGATAAAGAGCTGCAGAAAAATCTTACTAATGAACAGTCAATCATCTAAATTTTATTTACCTGTGCCCAAGACCAAACTGCTATAATTCATGACATCTGAAGGGGTTTGACACTTTTTGTGTAAACACTTATGAAGTTATTACAAGTTTGTTGATCTAGCATGTGATAATTTTTGTGCTTGTGTAACTCAAAAAGGAGTATGTGTCTGCTCTGTACCTCACAGAGGGCACTTGCGCTCTGAGACAGAAGCAAAGGGAAGCAAGTGGTAGAATAGTAAGAGAGATTATGCAGCCCTCATTAAGAGTCTTAGGAGTTCTGCCATAAGCAAGATTAGAGGCATCTGAAATCACATTAGAGATCAATTGATCTACATGATAAAGAAATAACAGGTAAAGAATCCAGTTTCACCTATGGTTCTACATATTTCAAAAAAATAGTTCAAGTATTATGTGTCCTATACAAGAGAAGTCTGTTCTTCAGTGTGTGGGCAACATGTACTCACTTCAGAAAAAAGATAGGGGACCCACAGGCATCTCAAACTAAGACTTGAAACAGAGTAAGGCACATGAACTGCACTCAGAATATATTTCAAGGCTATTTGCAACATGACATCATCAAACTCTTTAGAATTATCAAATAATGCAACTGCCACATTTAAAAAAAAAAAAAAGACAACATTATTTCTCCATGGAGGTATCCACAATGGAAGAAACTTGAGCAGGTGTTTCAATCTAAAGCACAGTCTCTAACACATTTTGCTACAAAGCAGTTATTTCACAATATTGCCAGAGATGAACTCACCAAAGCTTGCACTGTGGCATGCAGAACCTCAGCCAAAAATATCATTATTCTAATGTTCTATGTAAAAGAAAAAAAAAAAGAAAAAAATCAGGTCTATTACAATTTCTTTGGAGCAATACACTACAGGATGGCCTCTTTAATAATTACATTTTGACTTTGACCTCCAAGTAGGTTCAATCTTAGTACAGTATTTCCCTATCTTTCTGTAAGTGAAATATCTTTCAAGTGTTCTGTTAAGACCTTTTCCCTTCCTGTTACACTCTTCTGAAAACTTGTTAATTGTTTCTCATCCTCCTTGTGCTTTTAAGTACCCAACCTGGAGCTGAGGCTTCACCATCACACAGCAGAATAGAAAAGTTACTTCACATGCATAGTACTTCTGTTATCGATCCTCATAGCATTTTCCTTTTTTGCAAAGTAAAACATTGACTCATGACCAACTTGCAACCCCACAGAACCCCTAGATCCTCACCTGAGGAAGTGCTGCTAAGACAAGATTTGACATCTGCTATTTCTCCCTTACCTACTTAACTTATGAGAAAAAGAAGTTTCACATTTCTTCTGCACAAATCCATTATAATATTCCTCTCCTTATTTTCTCATTTGCAGCAGTTTGATTTGTTCAACCAAATTTCCAACAACTAAAGTTAAGCTATTTAACTTTTCATTTCCAGGATATCCTCCCCACCTTTCTTTTTCGGCAAGGAACATTTAATACCTTTTCCTCATCCTCCAGAATGTTCTCTACTCACAAAACACATCTCAAACAAAATCCCTCCCCACAATTAATGCTGTAAATGATGCTTCAGCCAGGTTTCTGGAATGAACTAGGAAAAACCCACAAACCCCCCCACCCCCCAAAACAAACAAAACCCACCACCACCCCAACTGCCCAGCCACTGGGGGGAAAAAAAAAAAAAATCCACCTATATTTTATCCAATCCTTTCTGTACCATGTCTTGAGTTCTCAAAGTTTGCAAAAGCTCCTGGCTGTACTAACCACCTGATCATAGCCAACCTGTGCATTGAAAACTGAAACAAAATGGAAGAAAAATATTAAATGCCTTCTCAGATTAATCTTTTGACAGCTCTCCTTCCTCACAAAGTATCAGGCCACTAACTAAAATCTTACCACTCTCAGTAGATTTAATTTTGTATATTTTGTCCACACTGTTGTTTTTCTGAGTTTTTTTGGGGGTTGTTGTTTTGTTAAAAACAAACAAACCAACCCCACAAACAACCAGCCATGCCTAATACTTTGAGCTAGCATCTACTTTGTCTGAGCTTTCTTCATGTTTTCAAAGCTACTGGAAAGGTCATGATTTAACCAGGTCAGTTTCTTACCATTTTCCCTAGCTGCCTTCTACAATAGCAAAATCCATTGCAATGTCCTCAGAGACTCTTTAACAAAATTGTAAACTCTTCATTTGGACTAACTGTCTAAAGCATTTGCTCTGCACACTCTCTGAATTTGCTGAAGTCTGTTATATTTAAGTTCATTTTCTTTGTTTTGCTTTTCACTTTCCTAAGAATTGTGGCCTCCATTATTTCACAATCAAGATCGCCTACATTGCTTTCCATTTCATATTTTCAAACAGTTCTTCCCTATTTACTAAGTTCAAAGGTAATAAATACATCCTATGTTTTTTTGCTTTCTCTATTTTAGGTATCTATGAAAAACTTATCCCTAACAAATTCCAAAAACTTGCTGTATATTTTTTTATCTGCTGTATTCTTCTCCCAGCACATACATAGTTGGAAGTTGGTAGCTCACTGGAAGATGTAGACAAGTGCCAAAACCCAAACAACATTTAAGTTAATTATGCACATAAACTGCATAGAAAGTGAGACTTAAGTTACTTCACTTTTTAAAAAACAATCTCATATTTCCCTTTCATTTCTATTAATGATTTTAAATTAATTAAAAGCTACATGGATCCAAGCTTCCAGTTCCCCACGAAGCACTATGGATGGTTACTGAGTCTCACCAAATCCATAAAAGACACATGTAAGAGCTTGAAATATGACATCTCATTTCTATAAAACATTATGCAGCGTGAAAACATCAGCACAAAGCAGAATTAGGTGAATCTCTAATTCATAAGAGCAATTACATGGACCTGTTGGAGAAGGTCCAAAGGAGGGCCACAAAAAACAACCGAGGGCTGGAACACCTCTCCCCATGAGGAAAAGCTGAGAGTTGGGGTTGTTCAGCCTGGAGAAGAGATGGTTCTGGGGAGACCTTATTGCAGCCTTCCAATACTTAAAGGGGGCTTATAAGAAAGATGGGGACAGACATTTATTACAGCCTGTAGTGATAGGACAAGGGACAATGGTTTTATACTAAAAGAATGTAGATTCAGACTAGGTGTAAGGAAGAAACTCTTTACAATGAGGGTGGTGAAGCACTGGCACAGGTTGCCCACAGAGGCGGTAGATGCCTCATCCCTGGAAACATTCAAGGTCAGATTCAAGGTCAGCTTCAAGGTCAGGCTGGACGGGGCTCTGAGCAACCGGGTCAAGTTGAACATGTCCCTGCTCACTGCAGTGGGGTTGGACTAGATGACCTTTTCAAGTCCCTTCCAACCCAAACCATTCTATGATTCTGTGAAAATCCTACCCCCCCGCCCTTTTTTTTTAATTACACATTAAAAAAAAATAGATAAAGTATTTTGTTTAGTACAACTTAATTGTTTGAGTTAAGGTTAAGAAACAAAATATGATTAGAGAAATTGTTTAAGAATCCAAACAGAATCAATGACTGTGGAAGACAGAAATTGAGAAGATGCAAGACAAAAAGACAGGGTTGGGAAGAGTAATAATGTGGTTTGGGTTAGCAAAATTACAGACATAAGTTTTAAAATTGTGTCTGTAATTTTGTCTTACTTCACATTCTCCAACTTGGCACAGATGGGTGCAAGTCCAAAGCAATACAATACATCTCTCAGAATCAGTTATCAAAACCTATTCTGGCCTTTATGTAACACAAATGTGTGGTCTCTTCATTATACAGCTGTGTCTCCATCCTATACATCCAATACGAGAAAAGTATTTTTGTAGTTAAATGCGTTTGTGCCAGTGAACAGGCACTGTTCAGGTTACAAAGGTACTACTCCTCAAAGGTCTGCTTGATTCCCTAGGGGTGATTTTATCACAACTACCTAACTGAAAGTCAGGAGGCTCTCACTTTGTCAAGGGAAGATAGTATGACCTTTGTTAGTAAAGCATGCTAATAATTCAGAAGGAAGATTTACATTTTATTATTATAAAAACACTAATTACCAGACAGATCTAGTAAAAGAACTGACCTTTTCTCCTAACAGCAGCACATACTCTATAGAGAAAGTTTACACAATTGCTGCCCAATTTTTTTTTGCACTATCTGTTATTGCTGGCCAACCAATAGTATGACTGGCAGTCACATTTACCTCAGTCAAAAACCAAGAATCTGAATTGGAGAGCATAAGAACTGCCACAGAAATGAATTTAACTAACTTACAGAGCGTCCTATACCCATCACTTATTATAAAATAAAGTGCTCGTCGTTTTTCCTACATGAGTATTTCTGAAACCATCTACTTTATAAGTTACTTATAATTTAAAATCTTAAGAGCAATGACCCTTTCTGTAACAACTTTATACAGTACTAGGATACTAGACCCCTATGCTTACACTCAGAGGAAGGTAATTCAGAACAAAACATTATTATGACGATGATCTAAAACAAGACAGTCATTTGGAAGTATTTCTGGCATTTTTCCCTACCTACTATTATAGATTTACTGTGTAGTGTGATTTAAATGTACAACTGAATGTTTTCTCCATATTCACAAAGGTAAGCCAAAACAACTAGCCAAATAACAAAAAATAACGTGCCAGATTTGAGAAGTGAGGCACAGAAGAAAAGCATCTTGTTAAAAATTTATTAGGAATATTTGAAGCATTGGATATTTCAACAGAGACATTATAGTCTATTGCCTCTAAGGTGATAAAAGCTGATGACTGCATAACACCACCACTGGCAGCAAATCATAAAAACATGATGTAAGTAAATTAAAGAACCCCAGTCTCATAGTATAATGTTCTAGAGAAAAGAAACTGAAAGAATGCGTTGTGAAATGTGGGCATCATCACTGGATATAAAGTAATTTTAGAGATACACACTTTATAATAGACAAGTTCATTTCTCTGCAATGACTAGTATCATGCTTTGATCCACGCATTTCCCAGAAAGTCGTATTTTATGAGGCATAAAAACCACCCCAATGTTCCTGTTGCTTTGCAAAAATAAAGGAAAATGTAAAAAATACTTGGTTTTGATTGAGTAGAAGAATTTGCAATTTTATCCATAAATTGTTTACTTCAAATTCTTATTTGTGCATTCTTGTTTCCCACTCATGCCCAGAAGAATAAGTTGGGTAAGTTTAATTCTGTTGGCAAAATACTGAACATGTACACAACACTGAAATTCTACAGGGGAAAAAAAAAACCCAAACCACAAAACAAAAAAACCCCAGTAAATAGCCAGTAAGTCACCTAATGTCAACACCAGAGATTGTTCAAAATGACAATTGTATTTTACTCCATTCTGCTAAGCAAAATATGAATTCCAAGTAAATTTTCTGTAGTCCTATTTAGGAACATTGCCCCTTAGACTTGCCTGAAAGAGCTAAAAGCCTAATAAAAGGCTTCAGGATTAAATGATTTATCTGTGACAATAACAACTCCTTTCTTGGCGTTATTGCCCAGAGGTTTGGGGTGGGACTAGGGCTATGACAGGCCAAACACTAACAACTTTGCATGCATTAATGCTTAACAACTACAAGCTTTAATACGCCAATGCAAAAAGCAGATGTGGTTTATCTACAATGGGTTTTAGTTTATAACATCAAAAAGTTTAGCCCACAGGGTCAATAATTCAGGTAGGTCTGAAACAACGGTTTATTAGAGCGTAGAATTCTACCCGCAACAGGACAAACACTACGATGTGAAGCACTGCTACATTTTCTAGATAAAACAGACTTACATGAATAGCTTATCAAAATATTCTGCTTTGTATAAGTTTGCTAGTGCAACATTGGCAGATGAGTAGACTCAAGACAAGTGAAAGCTGAACTTGAGAACTGAATGAATTTGTTTCATCATCCTTGCCCACCAAATCAACAGATCTTTTCCTGGGAACAAAACATTTAGTAGCCAGTTACACCAATTATGAAATGTATGTTTTATTCCTAGAAAAACATGCACACAAAACAGTTTATTATACTCCTCCAGATAAACCTTGCAGGTAAATGTTTTAACCCTATGCTGCATTATAAAAAATAAAGTTAAATTGTTAAATAATAAACAACGAACAGTAATGCTAAGGTTAATGCTATATTAACATACAGTGTGTGCTAATTTTATATGGTCACACACTTTTTCAAAAAAGGCATTAGTAGTATACAAAAATAAACATACCTAATAACATAAGACAGACAATATATATTCATAGTGATAATTATGGCTTAATGAATCAGATGGTTTAAACTGATATATCCTTTAGGTGAAGCAATGCAGATTTTGTACCATCAAGTAAAATCTTTGGATAGGAGCAGTAGACAAAATTCAAGTAAAAAATGCTGAAATGTAATCTGAATAGCAGATTGTTTAAACAGGGCACAGAAATATTAGGCCAATAAATAGATGCGAGGCCAAGCCAAACATATATATGCTTCTAAACAAATATTACCACTTAAATAAAAGAAGAAAAAAAAAAAGGAAAAAAGATACAAGAATGAGAAAGTTGGGGGTTTAGCAAGTTTTGATATAATAGCCTATCAGAAACTTGGAGACACAAATGACACAAAATAGCAGAGTATCATAACACTGATGCATAAACTAAAAGTGTTAACTGAAAAGGTAAAATGTTTTCAAGTACCACAGAGACTATTTAAAGATACCCTACTGGAAATTCAGAACTATTCATCCATCCAAAAAACAGACTTTGAAAGGACCAGGAAATCTTGTCATGGTTAAGCAGCTTGTTAAAAGAGCAGTATTGCAAGAAAGACTACATCATTCAAAGCACTAAAGTCATGTCCAAATGAGGAAATAAGAAAAGAACATACTCTCTGTCAGGTTAAATACAAAGACACATTAAAATCTTAAGAATGACTTGCAAAAGGAAAAAAAAAGGCATAATAAATCCGATTTCTAACACACCAGGAACAGGAAGCCTGTCTA